ACTTGGACAGTGATAATAAGTTAAATTGGCTCATGACTAATGAGGATGTGCAAATACTGATTCAAGTCAGTAAAATGATTATGAGAGCTGAAGTATGAAAAGTATTAGTAAACCTATGGTTTTTTTTTTTTTTTTTTTTTGGAAATTTAATGTGTCCCCCCATTCCCTTCTTAAATGTACAGAATCGGTCAGAATGGGTGTCTTGAATACTTAGAGTACGGGTTTGCCAGTATAATCGACTGTGCAGAGGCATCGTCCCCTGGTACCCTCTGTATCCAAGTTACCTTTTCTTTACATTAATTGTATGCTACCTTCAAGATCACAGATTTACATTTATACATGATAGTACCATTTGCTTATATATATATATATATATATATATATTTGTGTGTAAATTATTATTTTTGTATGCATGGATATGTGTAACAATAAGTGTATGTTTATAATATATACTATACATACATATATTTGTATATAAATTATTATTTTTGTATGCATGGATTTGTGTAACAGTAAGTGTGTGTTTGTGTATGTGGGTATGCATATGTCAAATATCTATTGAACTAACTCCAAGAGATTAGTTTGCATTAAGTTTCTAATTATATGCTAAGTACTTATTAATTGAAATTACTATTTCTGTTAATACTTAAATGATTTTTTTTTTTTTTTTTGAATGACCATCTTCAATACTTAGGGTACAGGTTTGCCAGACTGGCTGTGTAGAGGTATCATCCCCTGGTGCCCCTTGTATTCAAGATGCACTAGTTTTATATTAGAGTACTGCCATTACTACAAGATTTTTTTTTTTTTAATTTACCTTATATCTATCATTTTTATCTAATTGTGTTTTCTTTTATCATTCTATGGTTTCTATGCTTTTGATCCAGTGTGGTGATGCACTTCTCAATGTCAAACTTAATCACTAGTCATGTTACATTATCCTTAATATAGAACTGTAATCAATGTTATCATTTTGTAATAATTGTTCATGCCCCCCGTGGGCCCTTGATTGGTGAATAAACATATATATATATAAGTTGTTGGTGCATTGTTTACACACTGCATTTTCTACGGGTTTTCTGCGTTTGTTTTACTGATCATGACAAGGTGCGCATGTCTGGTGTGACCGGTCAGCAGGGGATGCTCACTCCTCCATGGCACCTGATCCCACCTCTTATGTTTTAGAGAACCGTGTTTGCTCTTCTCTTGATTTGTATGGTTTGAACGGACTTGAAAGCTAAAGAAGCCAGAATACTGTTCTTAACTCCATAAATTTCATGCAATTCAACACTGTAGATGTATCTATTAACGCTCAACCAAAATCATGCACGGTTATCCCTTTAAAAAATGAAATAAGCTGTGCAATGTTTATTTATATTTTTTAAAAGGACATGCTGAAGGTTTATTTGTTTTAATCTGTATTCAATTTAAATGTATAAAAGGACATTAACCCTTTACGCATAACCAGAACAAAGCAGTTTTAAGAAAAAATAATTTTGGTATGAAGCTTTCCTTGTTTTCATTGTCAAAAAAAACCCCAACAAATCATCGTGGACATAGCAATAATTTTGTTTAAAAGTTAAAGCTGACATGAATTCTTAAAAACGCAACATTTTCATCTATGTACGACTTGTTTCATACTAACTATAGCCGTATTCCGCCATATTTCTTTCAGATACCTTGTCTCATTGTAACGATATATACCCCAATGCGCTCGTTACACTTGAATGATTTTTTGGTTTGGGTATCGACTTGTGCACATCTCCGATGGTAAAGCATATGAGAACACATAAGGAGATCAAGACATTTCAAAGCCACAATAAACAACATAATAATCATATTTATGAATAATTTATTGATTTGAATCAAAAGAAAAAAATGAAGTTTGGTGAAAAATTTAGATGCACGAGTACGTATTTTTACAGTGCGCCAATTTATGCAGAATAAACTTGAAATAAAAAGCAGTAAAATCTGCAAACATATTTTGAAATTATATCATTTGAATGGAACATAACAATGAAAGCCTTTGATTTGCAGCTATGCAATTGGTGCATATCGAGAAAACGTCTCGAACGCTGTAAACGTACCCATACCTGATAATAAGGTTACTGCATCGGTTCGAAGATGTGCACAAGTCAAGTGATATACACCATGAATTCCATTTATTGAAATATGCATCACAAAAAAGAAATAAACTCCGTAAAAGCCCAATAGTAAACACACTGTCATTTCTCTGTACACAGTACAGACTTGCACGTCGATTCACTTAGTCCGTGCTGATCAGATTTTGGTCAGGGAAATTATCACAAGTGGAAAGAGAAGTTATTTGGTATTTGCGCGGCTGAAGTGGGGGGGGGGGGGGGGGGTAATTATAACTGCTGTTCATAAGCTATAATTGTTAATTGTCTATCTACATGTAGTTCTAATATACATCCTATACAAAGTCATGTATATAGTCTGCAGTTGGTTTGCGTCGCAAAATTCATTTGTCAATTATAACTGATCATTTTAGTACTAATCTCAAATCTAAACCAAGTAATTTGATGTACGGTAATTATTTACTTCAAATCTTAAAAGCATTTAACCAGAATACAATTTTTTTATGTGTACATAGATTTATACGTTCTTTAACACACAAAAACACGAAGAAAAGCCATCCCCTGTTCAGATTGACATTTAGGCATTTGATTTTTTAGGGGGCGGGGAGCGTGCAAAAATAATTGACATGACCGTTATCTAAATATTCTTGGAAGACAGACATCTCTGCCGAATTCAATTTTGAAAAAAAAAATTTAAATGCGTCACTCCGACCACAAAGTATGTGCATTTTGAGGAATGCATAAATGTTGTATAATTATGTTGTTATAGAGAGTCTTTCGAGATTTCAGTTTCCCTGCCTGATAGTCTAGCTATTTTTTTTATATATAAATATAATTTCTATAGGAGTATTTGGGAGATAATTGTAAAAGCTAGGGTAGGGATTCTTGACACTGGTTGAATACGGATAATTTTTATTTACTCTTTTGTATATTGAACTAACTCTCTCTCTCTCTCTCTCTCTCTTACGCAGCAATGTTCAATGTCTATACTAAGTATATATTTGTAAAAAAGCCCCCCCCCCCCGGTTCCGACACCTATGCTCAAACGTACAAGTCGAACCTGGACCTGGACAACAGACAATGGGATTTTTATAAAGGTAATTGTAGATAGAATGCGGAAATCCTCACGGGGGGATTCCTCTCTCTTTCTATCTAATTTTTCTTGTAATTATTAATTATTTATGTCTAGAAATTTAATTCACATTAAATTCTATTTTCATTATCATTGTACCACAGAATCAAACTCGTTTATTACACCCCTCGCAACAAGGACCCATCAGTCAGCCCTTTTTTTTCTTTTTTTTTTTTTTGGGGTCAGCGCAACTTCTTATAAACCAATGCACAGAGTTTTGTCGAACTTTCGAGATATTTATAGGAATCAATGTGTGTCTAGATTTGCACATCACCAGGAAATTCCTAATTCTTTATTTTTTCGGGAATTTCCGCACTTTTACATTTAGATTTTGGCCATATCTTGAATATAAAGATGAGCAGTTTGTCAGCGCATTTCCTCATAAACCGCTGGACACAATTTCGTCAAACTTTGCAGATATTTAGGACACAATGTGCATAGATGTGCATATAACGAGGAAATTACGATTCCTTTATTTTTTCTGGGAATTTCAGCACTTCGACTTTTGGGGGAGCGTGGGGTATGTTTTCATTCATCGGCATAAAATTATAAATAACTTTAAATCAAATTATATTAAGTCTAATCAAGCCAATACACAGTATTTATTTGATAATAATTGATCATAAAGAAATCCAATCTGTTTCCGACGTTTTTCTTAAATTATTTTTATGAGAGTGTTAATATGCATGTTTTATTACACCCCCCCCCCCTCCTATCACAGGAAAATATCTTCAAAAGGTGAATGATTCGTAATAATGCATGCTTTATTAAAAATTTAATGAATTTAAACCATGTAATCATAAATTCTATTTGCAACATTTGCAGACAAGAGTAATGTTTAGTTTTGAAAAAATTACTTGCATTTTTTTTCAATCAACCCCACTGAGCTTTCAACCTTTTATATTTTCCCTGACCAAATAAAATGATCGGCATGGGCCACGTGTGTCCAAGCATCTTTTACTGTTGAGTTAGCAATGGATTACATGACTTCTGAGATGCATTTTTCAATAAAAGTAAAATAGGATAATTCTTTCGACATGTGCACATCCCTGTAACGATAGCAGTATATTCAGGTAAATGTTTTATCACTGCGTTTGACGCGTTTTCTCGACCTGCATGGATTTTTGCTGTACACGAATGTATTCCGTGTTAGTGTATTTTCTATATTGCAGCAAATGCACTCAAAAACAATTTAATTCTCGGTCAAGTTCTATTTTTTTTTCTTGAATTCTTACTTTTCAAACATGTATTTGGTCAGTTTATTCAGTTTATGGACTTCTAAAAACTATGCTATCGGAGATGTGTACATGTCGACAGCCAGGCTAGAAAATCACTCAAGTGAAACAATTCTACAAGTCTATATATAGCAGGTACAGGTGGCCAAAAATCTTCGATTAAATATGGCGGAATCGAAGAAATATGGCGGACAAGGGCGTACAAGAATGTAGTAAGTCGTACAAAGATGAAAACTGATGCCTTTTTAAGAGTTCATGTCAGCTTTAAGTGATATATTTCTCTTCAGAAGTTTCTTATATGAGCTGTCCTTCTTTATGAACATAATTATACGTATGTATGCATGTTATTATGTACACGTAGAAATGAACGAAAACTCTTTTGGTGGAAACATGCACACATTCAAAGATTAGCTAGAGCTCTCGGCGTTGTAATACTGTCTTTTAGTTTGCTTAGCTCCTTTTACCTAGAAAATCAGAGGTTTTAAATAATACTATTAGATTTTCCATAGCTTTGGCCAACAATCCGCGAAAATATTTTATTCATGGGCAATTTATTTTTCTCTTTCGCTAAATATACAATGTTATAGACCATATAACTTAAAATCTTAACATTGTACAAAAAATAAAGTGCCTGAATATGTCTTCATTAATCAGTCAACCTTATTCTCCTTCTGAGGGATCTCTAGAGCGTAGTGTCTTCATCTGTAACACAGACTAAAAAAGCCTGCCAACGAAGTAGAGACGTAATAATCATAAAAGAGTCAACTTAACTTGTGAACAATTCTTCTTCACTAAAAATGAACAAAGTCATTATACATCAATATTAAAATCTAAAGGACGAATATTACACAAATGAAGATGTCATTAAATAAGTACATTTAGTTAAAATCTTTTTTATTATGCAAATCACGTGGATTACCCAATTCAATATACATGTTTATAAGAAAAAAAGAGTACAGTTGTACTGTACAAGTATTGCATTACATATATCTCCTCACATTTTATACTACAGAAACCTGACATGACAAAAATGTTGACAACTTTTACGCGATGAGCAGTTCCTTTGCTATGAATTTCTGGGCTATATTGGCATACATTTTTAGAGATGCATACCACATTATTTCCATGTAACTTTTTTTCTCAGCGTATGAAGCTACGTATTTACACGTTGTGTTTCCGCTGTAACACTTCATACCCGCCTCCTGGTGAAGCGTCAGATACTTAGCGATCTGTGTAAATTCAACATCCCCAATTCTAGCTGGCAGTAACCCGTACAAATATACATCATCCACCCAGAAGAAGGGCGTCAAAAAGGAGGATTTGTAAAGTTCCCGGATAATGTCTGCCGATATCAGCACAAAATATCCATTGCAATATGTAACAGGATAGTGAGTCATATTCTTAAACTGGTCCTCATTCACTTGCCATTTACTTTTCTGGCGCATTATTGGACTGGTGCCCTTCGGTCTGATATGGCACATTATGCTCCGTTTTGATTTGCGGTACTTTGGAAGGTAATACTCCATCAAATAGAATAAATTAACAAACATGTCATCATCAACTTTAACAACCATTTCAACATTAGAACAAAATTCACTCAGCCATCGATAGGTGAGAACACCTTTATGCGTCAAATTGTGATAAGAGTCAACGAAATGTCCTTGAACAATATCACCATACACAGTACTTTCATTTTCAAGCATCGTTTGCGTACCTTTATTTTTAGATAATCCAAAGAAGAAAACTATTCGAAAACCCCCATTGCGCAAAATATTGATGCTACCCCAAGTCTGTCGTATGATGCTGCGTCTTTTGAAGTGGTCTGTTGATGTGTGAACAATCACAACGTAGTTTAACTTTTCCTTTGTTTTACATATTGATGGGTTATTAATAAGATAGGGTGACATTAATGTAAGTGGATAACTAGTCTTTTTGACTGACTTTGTAACTGTCGAAATTGTAGAACTACTTTGTATTCTTGTCACTCTTTGTATATCATCATTGTCCTTGACATCCGTTTCGTACAACCTCTGACTTTGGTACTTGGTCATGAACTGAGGAGTCTTTGGGACACTGATTTTCAGGAACTGGTCCAACATTAAGATGGCTGTCATCATTCCACACAGAATCCAAACCAGTCTGTGGCCGAACGAAGCCATCAGGTTCAATGTGCTCTCCCTGCAAGCAAAATCGAATAATGACGATACTATAACATGTTCAAATACAAAAATCTCTAAGTGAAAAAAAAATCACAGTAAAGATTTACTCTCTTTAGTAAGGAATTTTCCCTCTCGCACACATTTTTATCTGAAAATGGCGCAGCAGTGGCCATTACATTTAGTGGAAGATGAAGGACGACCATATCAAATTGGCGCAGTATACATTGGATTTTACATGGATTTACATGATCAGTGTAAGCAAAGTTTGTTTGCTCGTTTTTTTTTTTTACAGTAAAAATTATGAATTATATTTTAAAGCTATTAACCGGAAGTAATACAAGAATAGAGTTATACATTGTAATAATTCAAGTATACATATCATGTAACCATCGTGATTGCGGTTCAATAATGATGAAAATGAAATTTTACTTAAGAGAATTTAATTATTCTTCCTTTTAAACCAGTTCATAGTTTTTTGCATTTCTTACTGCTCATGATGGTTGAAACAATAAACATGCATTCTGAGCATATTAACAAATGAGAATATGTTCTAAAATTAGATGTCTATACCTTATTAGTAATTAATTGCTATTGTGCATATTTTTTTCAGAAATCTATCTACATTAATCTACAAGATATTGCTATCAAATATGCAAATTATGAATTGGAAAGAGATGAAGATGTGAATTTCTGCACTTTTTACAGGAAGTTTGTTAGTAATTTTTTTTAACGGAATATGAAAACAAACGAAAGTAATCAAGCTCCAAACGCCACTCTAGCAATTTAAATTGTGAGTAGAACAATCACGGACGTCTAAAACATTAGAATTGAGATCAAGTGCCGGGGAGAAGTGAATATCCCCTGTCCACCAGTTACGTCCCTAGTATGCTACTTTTCATGATCGAGGTAACGGAAAAATTGCTAATAAATCAGTGCTTAAAAAAGTGCCTAACAATTGGTATAGAAGCGTCAGTCAGCATTAGATTGTGTTTGCTAAAAGGTAACTGTATCGACCGTTGGACTTGCAAAATGATGACTTCAAACAATACTGTCGATATCCCTGCAACATTAACTTGTCACCAATTTGTTTGGCAATAGCTTGCTTCGTTTTAGGAATTGTTTGTACGCACATCATACTCATATATGGTTGATAAGGGTATATTCCTATATAAAGATAGGGGAAGTTGACAATAGAAAAGTTAAAATCATCCCTTTTATCCACAGGCCTTTGGATCGCTTTAAAAAAAAATGTGTGTGTAAAAAAAATATTTATTTTTCATTTCAACACCTCAATTTTTTTCTAAGCGATCTAAAGGCCTGTGCTTTTATCATAAAGTTACGTTACCATTAATATCTTTTCCCAGTAAAATATTCAAATATGAAACAGATATGTCAAACTCTGTAGCATCTTTAATTTCAAGAAACTCAGGACTTTTTTATCATCAACCTCAAAATATTAATGTGTAGATTAGAATCAGAGAAAAAACCGTGATGGGTTTTAAATTCTAAACAAAATTTTATTCATAACAGGGAGTATGATTACAGAAACTCAAAATACAAAATCGATCACATTTTTTAAATTATGCCCCAAGTTAAACATACTCAATTAATCAATCCTGTTAGCTACAAAACATGCAAACCATCAACTCTCACTTTCACTCCTGTGAAGTCCCATTATACTTATTATAATTACGATTCTATATGAAATGCTGTCCCGCTGCTTTCCTCATTGCCTCCTGTACCATAGCAATGTTTGCGTGGTTCCTCGTCCACCGAGTCATCTTAGAGAGGGTCGCCAGCCAGAGTTGCTCTATTCCCCCGTCGTCCCACGCCAGGACGCCCACGTGAATGAGTGGGCCACTACCATTATACTCTTCAAGTCCGGACTTTAAATTCAAAGTTAGAGCACCTCCAATGTCTTCATAACGGACGTCTTTCACTTGTCCGAGCACCATTCCAAAGAGATAAGCATCGTCTATGGAAAAATATTGTGAAGTAAATGTAAATTTATAAAGCTCAGGCACGAGATCCGAAGAAAAGAGAACAAAAAATCCGCCACAGAATTTTGGATAATATTTTTGGCCTTTGTAAATATGATCCGGAACAAACCATTTACTGTTGCGGTCCCTAACTATCACACTGGTGTTATTCTCTTTGAGGGAACACATAATCACTTTATTCTTATGAAAGATTTGGGATACAAGAAATTCAGTCATGGCGAATATATTGATGAACATATCGTCGTCAGCTTTGACGATGTATTTGGCATGTAAACAGTTGTCATTTATCCACTGCATGGCTTGCATACTTTTAAGTGTTAAATTTCCGTGAGTATCTTCAAAGTTACCCTGCACGATATCCCGAGTATTCAAATTCTCGTTCACTATCATTAACTGCTCCTCCTTGGTCGGTGGTTTTCCAAGAATGAAAATTGTTCTCACTTTGATGTCTGAGAACACGTTCTTATTGGCCCAGGACTCGCGAAGTATTCTACGGTGCTCGAAATGACTCCATAAACTATGAAAATAAATCAAGATATCTACCTCCGATGAGTTACATATATGAGTATTAGATATGATGGGTGTAGTGAGATTAGGATGTGGTCCTACGGGGATGAATTTTTTGGCAGTAGTCCTGTTAAACCATTCTCTCGTATGGTCAGGGTAACTATCAATTAATTGTGGT